TATGCAATGTGTTAATTATTGAAACTGTCCTACCAATTTGGTTTGAAACTGTCTCATTGCTATTTGTTTCTCAATAAAATTATGAAAAAAACCCCCACCTACTTTAACCCAGTCATTCCCCTTCTAGGTATCTTCCCAAAAGAGTTAAAGGCATTATATTACAGTGACACAGACATCGCCTCTCGCTCTTTTGGCTAAGATCGAGTGTGCAGGGACACATGCATGCCCACGCAGCATGGTTTGTAATAGTCATCCCAACACCAGCTGAATAGATCAAGAAAATGTGGCATTTATGCACAACAGAGCTCCACTCTGCTATAAACAAGGTTAAATTTGATTCATCTGTAGGAAAATGGACACATTTTGGACCCATAATGTTAAGTGAAATAAATGAAACCCACAATCTTAAATATTGTATGGTTTCTCACATAAGAGAAAGTATAAATAAAAAGCAAAATAAAAGACAACAGAAAACAAGGAGATAGATCTTTACCAAGTGGGAGGGGAACCAGGAGACACTGGGGGGTAAAGAGACCTGAGCTGTGTCGTGTACGTGTCCCAGTTGCCCACATGAATGTATTCATCATGCACGACAAACATGTACTCATAAAAAAGCCCTTGAAGGGGAAGTGGCCAATATTAAGATAGCCGCAAAATAAGGAAAGCTTCACAGCCTGAAATCACATTAAAAAGTCAGACTATGACCTTGTGTAGTCATGCACAGTTACTGCAACTCTGCACACCTTATACGTCTGCTGTGCAGACGGCCTCGTCAAACATTTAATTGGATGAGATGGCAGGATTATGAGAAAATTTTTTTTTACTTAAAAGTTCTGTTAGTATGTTGGCAGTTAACATAACTGTAGGATGACTTACGCCAATGTGGCCAGTGCAGTTACTCTCAAACGTTCTATTTGCTTGCTCATTCCTGTTACTCAGCAAAGGCCGGCAAGTACTTGAGGTAGAACAATGCACATTGTGTACTTGGCGGCCTCCGTTTGCTCCTTTGGTCTTTAGCTGGGAGGAAAAGAATCGGTTCCGTGAAGGAACCAGCTCCACCATGCAACTCCTCAGTCATAAGAGAGAAACCCAGCCAGAGCAGCTCCTGAAAAAGACCTGAGCTTACCTCGGATTTCAGAGTGGTGGTCTCAGGGTTGCCACTTGGAGTATAGTGGGTTTCCGTATAGTCCGGAGCAAAGAGGTGCCTGTAAAGAAAACAACAAGGTGTCTTCAGCTGACAGATATCAACCTCTCTGGTAATAATAGCAAGTGATTTTAATTGGACCAGGAAGGGCCACCCCAAGCCTCTCCATGCAGAAGATACCAGGGAGTCAGCAGGAGGTAAGGTATACAGAGAAAAATGGGGGAGTCTGTCCTTAATTTCATATTTACTGAGATCATCACTCCAACCAGGAGAGTTGACAGAACTAAAGCAATGATCTTAGTTTTGTTCTTATTCCTGAGAAAACAGACATACAAACACATATGTGAAGGGGCTATGGAACTTTCTCATAAGTCTTGATCAACTTTCCAACATTGAATACACTGAGTTCTGGTATCAGCACATCAATTTTCCTTTAAAAAAAAATAAAGTCCCCCTGTTGCACCTTTTGGTGGGCCTGCCAATCAAGGTGTACCGCGAGGTCTTGGTCCAGAGGTGGCCTGTGCTTTAAGCAAACCCAAAGGAGCACAACTGCAAGTCCAACCAAATACAAGAATGATTCATATTCTGCTATGTGGGTTCATGGAGCTGCCTTTGCTCATCCCTCCTCAGACCTACGAGAGTCCGAATTTTGCTCTTCCAATAAATTCCTTTTCATTTTCTAAACTTGGACAGTGGTTTCTTTCTTGTTCTCACACTTTTTAAAGTTGAAGTTAACAATGCCTCAATCCAAGCTAGGCAACACCAAACAAGGTTCCCAGAATTTCTCTAAAAGTCAGAAGAAAGGATCAAATGGATGTTTTATCTAACAGAACTGATCCATAGATAGGCTGGGTCCGTGGGCAGAACAGGTTTCTAATGGAGACACTGACAGACACTAACCTGCAGGGCTGGCCTGATACTCGGTGGACTAAAGTGCCTGCTTAGGCAGACTCAGGGGCCAGGTTTGACCCCCAGTGTGCCGTGCCGGCCACGCCCCTGGGGCGCACTGAGAAGGCAATTGAGACGGGCGTGGTGGTGCGTGCCTGTAATTCCAGCTCATGGGAGACTGAAAACAGGAGAATCACTATGAGTCTGATCTGTGTAGTGAGACCCTGCAGACTCTGTCCTAAATACAGAAGGAAAAAAAAGAAATTAACCTGGAAGAAAAATTAATGAAGAGGCTCTATATGCCATAGTGTGGATAGGTTTCTAAATATAGTTAGATAGAAACTATAAATTTCAGAAAACATCGTACTTTGAAAGTTGATTTTAATTAAAAACCTGACAGATGCACAAACAAAAGCACGCACTTGAAAGATCTAGAGGGTCAAACGACCACTGTGAAGGGCTGGCTCAAGCGGACTGCATACGCGCACAATGATCAGAGTTACACGTTTCTGAAATAGACCTTTAAAATAACTATAAGATATTTGTTTTGAAACTGGAAAGCCTCTTTCAAAATTTCTTTTAAAAAGTAGAACATAGGGCATGGATACAGCTCTGTGGTGTAAGCACCTGCCTGAAAGCACAAGGTCTTGAGTTCAATCCCCAGTACCGCCAAAAAAAAAAGAACTCTCTATGTTAGGGCTGGCCAGATAGCTCAATAGATCAAAGTGCCTGAAAGCAGGTGCAGGGGTAGGGGGTTTAAACCCCAGGCCTGCCCTGCTGGCTTCACCCCCGGGGCGCTCTGAGACTGCAATTGAGACTGGGCATAGTGGTGTGCACCTGTAATTCCAGCTCTTGGGAAGCTGTAAACAGGCGGATCACTACAAGTCTGATCTAATAGTGAGACCCTGAACACCTTGTAGACCCTTCCCTAAAAATACAGAAAAAAAAAAAAGAAAGTGCAGGCTGAGGTCAGCACATGCAGCCAGAGAAGTGATAACCTAGGTTTTGGGACAGGGGACACTTCCCAGGACAGAGGCTTATGGAAAATTGGTCTGAGCACCAAGTTCTGGGCACCCAACTCCAATTCTGCCCCCATCCAGACAGTGCAGTCAGAAGCCAAATGGCTCAGGAATTAATATACAGCCTTGACGAGAAGAAAGGAAACCCAGCAGACGCACGTAAGGGTACATCAAAGACAGAGCCTGGCCCGCGCAGAGAAAGTTTCATTCACGTGGAAACTTTAGGTCAGCCACCACCTTGCCAGAATAGTCCTTTCTCATTCTCCTCAGCTCCTTTGCCTGGCAGCAAACCAAGCAGACAGGCTCTCGGGCAGGAGTCACGCATCCATCTGAAGGAAATAAACTAAACTCCGCGAGGGCAGAGGCCAAGGGTTGTGCTGTCTGGTGTATCGATACCTCACACTTAATAAACAAAGGGATGACTCAGCTAATTAATAATGAATGAGCAGCTCCTAGTATTAGGAGTTTAGAGCGAGCCCTGGAGTCCAGGTGACTGAAGTTCTGATTCTAGTTCTGCTGTTTTCTGTCCCTAGGTCATGAGCTAGTTATCTTGGCTTCCTCTTCCCCAAAAACAAGGTTAGCAAACCGAGTTGATCAGACTGCCTTAAGACTCCCGTAACACAGTAGTACACATGGCAGGTTGAATGCCAGGCTTGGCACAGGATGGAGTGCAATAAACGCTGGTGCTTTTCGTGGGCTTAGGATGGGAGGGCCCAGCACTCTGCCTGTTCTCTCTAGCACTCCCCAGCCATTAACTCACTAGTACCACACTTGAGAGAGGTGCTAAGAAGCACTGAGCTCATTCTGCTGCCCATTTCCTGGACCCGCTTTCAGACTGCATAACGGGTAGCAGTCAGGGTTCACAGTTTAATGGTCCGTCCTGAGTACCAGCCGGGAAGTGTGAATTTTCCCACAGGAAATACACTCGCGGTGAATGCATCCTGAACCTCTTTCTGAGCTTAGCAGGGAAAAGGTCATTTATCCAGTGATGTCAAGGTGCTCCAGAGAGAGCAATCCAAATTGTGCTGCGGAAGGAGTCCACCTTCTGGCCCGTCCTCAGCCGAATGCCCTCAGAAGATATGCATTCCTGCAGCTGCTTATTCTAACAGCAGCGCCCCCCACACACTCTCCAGCAGTGAAAAGGACCCTGCATGGGGCTGGCGAGACAGCTCAGCCATCTAAAGTGCTTGACTAGGCAAGCTTAGGCAACCACAGGGACCACGGTTCCACCTCTGGCACCACATGCCACGCCAGCCCCGTACCCTGGGCGGGTTGAGCCTGCCACAAGAAAGAAAGAAAGAAAGAAAGAAAGAAAGAAAGAAAGAAAGAAAGAAAGAAAGAAAGAAAGAAAGAAAGAAAGAAAGAAAGAAAGAAAGGACCCTGGAAATCACATAATCACACTAACTAAAATGTGGGGTCCCTAAAGGCAGAGACCACAGCTGCCTTTCAATGTTTCCTCCCAGCAGGCAGGCAGTGCATGTTTATTCTGAATAACTGAAGAGATGAATGAATAAGTACATGAAAGAATTAAACTTCTCTCTAAGGTAGGAAATTGCTGGTGGCCATTCAGCACTGGATACCTCTGGGGACCAAGAGATCCTGAACCTGCTCATTCCATTTGTGACCACACACACAGTGAAGTTCTTACCCTGAATTAAAAGCTTCCTTTCTGCAACCTGCACCCCCTGGCTTTCATTCTGTTTACTTCTGACACTACACAGAGCTTCTGCTTCCTCTTCCACCTAACCTGTTGGAATCAACATCTAGTTCAACATACAGATTGTCAAGCCTACCCCAGACCTACTGAATCAGATAGAAAATCCAGGGTTGACACTCAGCCTTGTCGCTTCGTAACTTTCCTGGCAATTCTGATGCAGGCTCAAGCCACCGCCTTAGACCACAAGATCTCAGATGAACTTCAGAAATATCTAAACAGGTTGTACTGCCTAAGCCCCCACCCCATCCTGCATCTACCACATCCTGGCCCACTCTGAACTCAGGAAACCCGACGAATCTACAATCCTAACTGTTCACCCTCCACACCTTCCCGTTTTGTAGTTGAAGACCCAGGCTCCAAGTGCCCATGGCAGAGGCTGAATTTCAAACCCACCCTGTTGACCACACTCTTTAAGCACTTTGCTGCTCTGTTTTGATGGAAGTATAAAACGAAACCATCACCAGGAACCTGTAGACCAAATTGCACTTGGAAGGTGAAGGTGGTGGCCTAGAGGTCATAAACCACGTCAGAATAAAGGAGCCGTTAGGTGCAGATATCTGCAAAGAGCCTCGAGGTCAGCAAAACCCAGCCCAGGAAAAGAAAGGTGAATAAGCATAAATCTCAGATCTAGTTTTAGTGAAATCCTTCCCCAAATTGGGCTGCAGATGCCGGTCAGGAAGCTCCTTCTTTTTAGCAGCAAAACAGGGTCATGTTTGGTCCCCATGTCTATGGTTCACATCAGTGGGGAGCAAAACACTGCTTTAAGCATTCTCCACTTCCCAGCTGAGAGGCATACACCCACGTGCCTGGCCAGCTCCTCACGCTGCTCTCAAGCACAAAGACACCACTATTCCCATGAAATGGGCTGCAGGGACACTGACTGGCCTCCCAGCCCAGCTGTCCCTTTTCTGACCACATCTTGTTCCCATCTTCTCCCTGACAAGGGGCTGGCTCAGCACTTCGACAGGAAGCCATCTCTCAGTGCTCGATCGCATTAGGATTTTCAGGAAATGAGTTGTGAGTGATGTGCGCCCAGGAAAAGCGGAGTTGGCCAAGGTTTCCCACCCTGCCCCCTCCTCGTGCTGGCTTGAGGAGCACAACCACTGCCAGCTCCTGTCACCTCCAGTCCCATTGGCTCTGGGCTCAGAAGCCACCCGCCAGCGGAGTTTAGGACTCTGTCCTCCACATGACAGGAGCAGCTGGCCCTGGATGAACACTGGGGCTGCTAGACCCCCAAGTCCTTGGGTGAAACCTGTATCTCCTGAATTGCACCTAAGGAAATATACTGTTCCTCAAGCACCAGACAAGAGCCATGAGATCATGGCTTCGCTTGTGGCAACCTGACACGCCCCTAGTCCAAGCTCACTACAGCCTGCAGGAGGCCCGGCTCCTTCCCTCCCTCCCTAAAGGCTCACAGTTCAACCCCAGGACAATCTC